TATTTTTTTGAGTTGGAGTCTCACTTTGTTGTCCAGGCTAGAGTGCAGTGGCACACTTATAGCCACCCCAGGGTCAACCTGCTAGGCTCTGGCCATTCTTCCGCCTCAGCCTTCCAAGTAGCTGGAACTACAGGCGTGTGCTACCACACCCAGCTAATTTTTTATTTATTGTAGAAACGAGGGCTCACCAAGTTGCCCGGGTTGGTCTTGAACCCTCAGCCTCAGGCAGTCCACACGCCTCGGCCTCCCAAATTGCTGGGATTATAGCCTGAGCCACCAAGCACAACTGATAAATTTATTTTACCAAAATTTTATGTGACATAGGAGTCTTTAGAAATGAAGACCCAGCCTGCAATCCTGCGCTTTGGGAGGCTGAGGTGAGTGGATTGCCAGAGCCCGCGGGTTCGAGACCCACCTGGGCAACTTGGCGAGACCTCATCTCTACAATAAATTAAAAATTAGCCGGGTGTGGTAGCACGTGCCTGTAGTTCCAGCTACTTGGAAGGGTGAGGCAGAAGGATCGCCGGAGCCCAGCAGGTCAAGGCTGTGGTGACCAGGAGCGGCCACTGCACTCCAGCCTGGGTGACAGAGTGAGACTCCAACTCAAAAAAAAAAAAGAAATGAAGACCCAAAGAACCAGGGAAAACTTTTTTTTTGACTTGGATTCTTACTCTGACACCCAGGCTGCAGTGCAGTGGTATACTTACGGCTACCACAGCCTCGACCTGCTGGGGTCAGATGATCCTTCTGCCTCAGCCTTCCAAGTAACTGGAACCACAGGTGTGCACCACCATGCCCAGCTAATTTTATGATTTATTGTAGAGATGTCTTGCCAAGTTGCCCAGGTTGGTCTCAAATCCCTGGGCTCAGGCAATCCTCTCACCTCAGCCTCCCAAAGTGCTGGGATCACAGGCGTGAGCCACTGCGCCTGGTGAAAACTGTCTATTTTTATGCTCATGTTGGATGAAGAATGGCAGCCATGTAGGAATGTGATTGGGCAGAGTATGACCTAATGGAAATAGACTGATGGGAGAAACCTAGCAAGGCCTGTCTGCTGATTCTTCTTGGCCTCTCTGTGTAGCCAAGGCATATAGGGCAGGACCCCTCTGGAATGAGAGTCTTCAAGGGAGAAGGGACAGAGTGGCCTTTCTAGGTTCTGTGGCTCACTCTGGGAGAGCAGGTTTCTAGTTTCTACGACCCACTTTGGGAGAAGGAATTGTGGTTTCTACAACTCACTTAGGGGGAGAAAGAGGAACGAGAGACAGGAGGCAGGAGAAGCTCAGAGAGAACTTACTTCTGAGACCTTCCAGTCTCCTTCAGCCCAAAGTACTCAGCATGCCAGGGTGGTGCCATCACTTGGGGTTATTGTGTTCTGAGCCCCAGGTTCATATATGCAATACACAGAGGAGATGCCTAATGTATCATAGATGCTTAATAAATGTTAGCTGGGCTTTATTTAGTTCAGACAAGCAGAAGGGAGCTCTCACTTCGGTGAGAACATTAGCTCTCATTTAATCTCAAATCTTATCTACTAGGCGTCGGTATCCTTTGTCCCTGTTTAGCCATTGAAGAGACAAGCACCCTCAGTTCTCCCAGGTGGCCGCCGAGCCCTGTCAATCCCGTATGTCGCCCGGCGCCCGGCTGCCCCCTTGTGGCAGTTGTGGTGCATTGACGCTCCCTCTTCCTCTTTGTTCTCTTCCCTTAAAGGCTCCGCGGCCTTGCCTAAGAGGGTGGAGGGAAATTTTGGCCCTGGATTTTGGAAACACTGGGAAGCGGTTAGAGGAGGAGCCGCAGCTGAGCTGCTCAGTTCTCAGCTTTGGAGACTGCAGTGATGCTAGGCGGACCACCTGATCCCACCCACGGGACCTTCTTTAAAGTATCTGAACCGGTACTTCTGTCTTGGCTGCACAAGGGAATCACCTGGGAAGCTTTTTAAAATTCATGGCTAGGGTGACGCAGGCATCAGTGTTTGTTGTTGTTGTTGTTTGAGTTGGAGTCTCACTCTGTCGCCCAGACTGGAGTGTAGTGGCCACTCGCGGCCACTGCAGCATCAACCTGCTGGGCTCCGGCGATTCTTCTGCCTTCCAAGTAGCCGGAATTACAGGTGCATGCTACCTGGCTAATTTTTTATTTATTGTAGAGATGAGGTCTCGCCAAGTTGCCTAGTCAGGTCTCGAACCGCGGGCTCAGGCAGTCCACTCACCTCGGCCTCCCAAAGTGCGGGATTACAGGCTGAGCCACTGAGCCCGGCCACATCAGTATTTTTTAAAGATCCCCTGGGGTTGTACAAGGTTCTACAGTGGAGAACCACAGCTCTAGATGTGCCATCTCCATTTGGCCTCCAAAGTCAGTCTTCACCCCAGTCCCCATGATGACCACCCCTCCCTGAGCCTATGCTGGCCAAGTCCTCCTCATTGGAGACCTAGTGGCCTCCATGAGGGTCTGACCCCACTAGCACCCTTCTCCTTGGTGACATGCTCCACTTAATCCTGCTTCTCTGACTGTGCCTTCTGACTCCTGTGTGTCCGGTGTTCCTCCTCGGCTCAATCCCTGGCCAGGGGTACAATCAAATGCTGATGGATGTGTCCAGCCCAGACCTGACTCGAGCCCCGGTCCCGTAAATCCAATGACATCCCTCCTGAAGGTCCCTCAAGTCCAACATGGTCCCATCCCCCATCCTGCGCTTTTACCCGCTTCTCCTCTGGAGATCTTGCCTTCTATCTGTATTCCAAGCCCAAAGACTAGATAGACCCTCCTCACCCCCTTCCTGCCCATACCTTCTCTATCCTGTTTGTCAGCTGGATGGCCTCTGTCACCCTCAGCCCCTTCCACGGACCTGGACCTGAGCCACCCTCCCTGCCTCCCGCCCACCCCTCTCTTCATCTCCTAGTCAGAGGGACAGCCCCCAGATACAAACCTGATCCTGCCGTCCCCTCCAACGACTCCCCTGCAGCTCCCGTGATCCTGCCCCCATCTGCTTCACCCACCTGCTTCCCACCACACACCTGTGTGACTAGGCTAGAAAGAAAACGAAGTCTAGGACTCAAAAGATGTCAGCTCCAAGTGTGTAAATGCAGCTGCCTGGAGTGACGGGAGACATTGGCTTACTTATCAGGCAGGCCAAGGCCACAGGAGGCGGGAGGCTTGTGGAGAACCGCAGACCACCAGGCCCTCCTTTGCCTCCTAGGTCCCTGCTCAGATGCTTCACTCCTTCAGACAGTCAACTCCCATCTTCCCACCTCCTCTCTCTTTTGCCCACCTTCCTCAGAGTCTCCTTCTCGTGCTTTTCCAGCAGCTCCAGCCCCCTGGGCCTCACTCACAGATGCCTCATGTTTCCTTTCTCCATCCAAAATCTCCTTTCTCCATCCAAAATCACTATCCAATCCCTTAAAAGCCAAGCTCGAGTGTAAGCCTGGGCGGAAGTGATGGTCCTTCTCTACCCTGCCAGAGTGCAAAGTGCCAATGCCGCTTGTACAATATAGCAAAGCATTTGCTCAGTCAGCTTGCCTGGAGATTTTACTGTGTATTGGGCTCTATTGAAGGCACTGGATAGGTAGTAACTCATTTAATCCTCATAAAAACTCTGTGAGGTCCATACTGTGATCCCTTCACAGATGCGGACCTGAGGCACAGAGAGATCCAGTGATGGCCCAAGGCCACACAGGAGGAGACAATGCTAGGACCTGATCCACACAGTTTGGCCCCAAGTCCATGCTCTTAACTACTCGATATTAGCAGAGGGATGTCGAGACTCCTAATAGTCAAGTGGCCCACTGAGTGCTCACTCTGTGCCAGGAGCCATGCTGAGCAGGTTAACACGCCACACTCAAGATGTTGCCAACAGCGGGTTTACATCTGAGACCGGCACTTGTTGGCGATTGGCCCTTGGCGCTGGACCATCCTGAGGGAGCAATCTCTCAGCCCTCAACTACCCAGGCAGGACTCATGCCCCCTCCACCTAGCACAGGTCTGGTTAAAGGGACTGACTTCCCTTGGGACAGGGTTGGAGTCTCTCTAGTATCTTTCTGCTGCATCCTTTAACCCAATGGCTGCCATAACAAAAGACCACAGACTGAGTGACTTAAACACCAGACATTTTCTCACAGTTCTGGAGGCCAGAAGTCCAAGTTGGCAGGTTGGTTTTCTTCTGAGGTTCTCCTCCTAGGCTTGTAGATGATGTCCTTCTCACTGTGTCCTCACATGGTCTTTTCTCTGTACTTGTCTGTGACCTAATTTCCTCTTATAAGGACACCAACCACATTGAATGAGGGCCCACTCCTGACTTCATTTTACCTTAATCATCTATTTAAAGGCCCTGTCTCCAAATGCAGTCACATTCTGAGATACTGGGTATTAGGACTTCAACATACAAATTTTGAGGGGACACAGGTCAGCCCAAAACACGCAGGGTCTCAAATGCTGATGGGCCAGACAAGTAGCGCTGGAGAATGAATTGGGCTGGGAGAGACCTGGCCCCCTCATTCTTTTATTTTCCCACTTTTGAGAGAGACATAAGTGAAAATACTTCACTTTTCCTCTTTGCTATGTGAAATACAAGAACAAGGACAGTTGTCCATGGCCATATCCCAGCTTCTAGAGCAAGTGCCTGGCATCTGGTAAGTGCTCAGTAAATCTTTGTTGAGCAAATGAATGTACAGAATGGCTCTGGATGCTGGGGAGTGGCAGAGACAGTGGTGAGTCCTGGCCAAGGGCTCAGTGGGCACTCAGCCCCAGCCAACTGTTAATCAGGTTGCCTGGAATATCTCAGTTTTTCAATGCTAGTAACTAATTCACAAAAACTAAAGTCGTTGTGCAGACCAGTTTGTAACCACTGCTGTCTGCTGAGGGCACCCACCCTGGGCCAGCAAGGCAGGCCTCCCCCAGCTCAGCCTTGGGGTTCTGTGCTCTCACTGGGGAAACAGGAAACCTGGGGGTAGGGCTGGTGTACCCCCCGCAGCTCCAGCAACTCAGGACCCCACCGCCTGTGGTTGCCTCTGCAGGAAGGCGACGCACTGGGCGCCATGGAGAAGCTGTGCCGGCAGTTGACGTACCACCTAAGCCCCCACTCCCAGTGGAGGAGACACCGGGGGCTGGTGAAGAGGAAGCCACAGGCCTGGTGAGTTGCAGTCCCCCAGGCCCATCGATGCCAGACTGAGTGTGTGATACCCAGCACTCCTTCCAGGGCAGGAACAAAGGGAAGGGCCACAGCCAGAGCCGGAGGGGACTGTTGGATCCCAAGATAGAAGGCTGCCTGAAGGAGGTGATGAGGAAGGAGGATTCAAGGATGGGGAAACAGCCAGGAGGGCATTCCAGACGGGCAGGAGAGGAACTGGAAGGAGACCCCTGGGTAGTAGCTGGGGCTTATGGGCCCAATGAAACGGGGTTGCCAGGGAAGTGTGAAAGTGGGCATTCCCAGCTGAGCTCTCCAGTTCTCTGGGATGTCCCCAAGGGGACCCAGACCCCAGCTGGGTCTCTGGTCCATACAGAAGCAGGGACCCTCGATGGTTTGGGAGCCCCCTGAAGAAGATTGGCAAGGGTGGAAGACACATAGGAGACAGAGCTTGTGGACTTTGACAGGTATCACCATAGGAAGCAGTGGAGGGGAGCCTGGAAGGCTTTCTGGAAGATGAGCACACCTGCCATTTTTGCAGATGGCCATGGGTCAGAGAGGATTGCCTTTGGAAAGACTGACAAGGCCTCAGTACTGCCGCTAGCTCATCCTTGCAGGTCCCTTAAGACTGGGGAGGGAAAGGCTGCCCCCTCCCTCATGAAGAAAGAGCTCTTACGCCTCCTTCCATTCCAGACACTGCTGCCCCCAAAAGCAGGACAGGATGAATCCTGGAGTGGTGCATTCACAGGTGGACAAAGAGTGAGACTCTCCTGGTACTGAACTCAGGAGGGGCTCCATCTGGGTGGAGCACAGGAGGCCCATGGAATCCGGAATGCCTGAGCTAGTTATTTAGAAACATTGGAAGTTTGAGCCCTGCTAGAATCCAAAGACCTCTTCTGTCTTACCACATGCAGGCTCACCCCATACTTCATTCGGAAGCCATGTCAATGAGGTCTCACTCCATTTGGTGGCTTCTCATCACACTTGAATGACCTCCATACAGAGCCCTGTGTGCTTAATCCTTCCTTCCCCTGTGGTCTCATCTCTCATCTTCCATCTCCCATGCCTCAGCCACACCGGTGGTCCTGCTGGTTCACAAGCACACTACGCCCTTTCCAGACTTGGGGCCTCTGCACCATCTGCTGGAACTTTAACCAGACTCTTCTGATGGCCTGTGCTTTCTTTTTCTTCATGTCTCATCTCAAATGTTACCTTCTCCTGAGTAACCATGCCTCCCAAGCTATCCTATCACTTTATCTCACATCGTCTTTGTGGTCTCCTCTCCTTGGAGAATGAAAACAGGGATTTCATCCATCCTGTTCGCCACTGTTACCCCATTGCCTAGGACAGCAGAAACTATCAAATGTTCGTTAAAGGAATGAATGGAGGAGATATTACTGTTGCCACTTGACTGACCAGGATCACCTACCTGACAAATGGTGGGGCTGGAGTCAAACCCAACTCAGGCTGTTAACCACCACACTCTTTCCCTGGTGTCATGGATCTGCTTTATTGACGACATTGATAATAGCAGCCAGTGTTTAAATCATGCTGAACAAATGCCAGGCAATATTCTAAGCACTTAAATGCCATGCCTTGAGATCTTTAACTTCCAACTCCCTGGGGCTAGACCCTAGTCAGGACAAAATGAGCAAACTGTGGACAGACTCCCAGCTTCAGATCTCAAGGATAGGAACTTACCCTGTACTGTCAGGTCCATGCTCAAGTTCCTTGTGCTGTTGATATTAACATATGCTCTTGGAGCAAGCTGGAAGCCCCCTCCACCTCTCTGTCCTCCCCAGGGAACTTGGAAATGTGGAGAAAGAACATCTGTCCATTGCATCTGGGCCTCAAAGCCAGTAAACCAAGAGCCGTGGTGAAAAGGGCACGCTCACTATCAGCTTGAGTAGCCTGGGCTCTGGCCCCAGAGCAAAAAGCAGGGGAAGAAAGGAGCAAGAAGTGGCAGCTGGCAGGAGGTGGAAAGGGGTGGAGAGTACTCAGACTCTGAGAGCCAGCAGCTCCCACCAGGCTCAGAGCCCCTGCACTGTCCTCTGCTTGCTGTCCTAGGGCTCTCCCTGGATTCCCCATCTGGTGTGGAAGATGATCTTAAGAGGGCCTCAGAGATCCTTTATGCCACTCTTGGGGACAAGCTCAGCTAGCACCCAAGGATGGTGGAAGCAGGAAGTTTGGCCTAAGTGATTAATAATGACAGCAACGACTGGGCTCAGTAGCTCAGCCTGTAATCCCAGCACTTTGGGAGGCCTAGGCAAGTGGATTGCCTGAGCCTGCGGGTTTGAGACCAGCCCAGGCAACTTGGCGAGACCGCGCCTATATAATAAATCAAAAATTAGGTGGGTGTGATAGTGCAGGCCTATAGTTCCAGGTATTTGGAAAGCTGAGGCAGAAGGATAGCTGGAGCCCAGCAGTTTGACGCTGGAGTGGCTGTGAGTGTACCACTGCACTCCAGCCTGGGTGACAGAGTGAGACTCAAACTCAAGAAAAAAAAAATTTTTTTAAATAATGACAGCAGAAAATATTTTATTCATCACTCACTTGTACAAGGCATTGTTTTGCATTTATCAACAAATTTCACATAACAGCTCTGTGGTACTCCATTAATTGCATTTTTCAGGTAAGTAACTTAGGTGCAGAGAGGTTAAATAACTAAAGGTCACAAGAGTAGGACGAAAAGGAGTTAAGATGCAAGCCCAGGCATCATGCAGAAAGACAAGCCTTTCCCTTGTGGTCCTACAGGAAGGGCAGCCACAGGCCTCAGGCTCTTGCCTGCTGGGCCCAGCCTGCTGAGATGAGGGATGGTGCCAGGAGACTGGAAGTCCCTGGTTTTTTCCACCCCTGCACTTGCAGTTTCATCCGCAAGTATTTTGTAAAAATGATCCCTGATGTCAGAGCCAAGCAGAGCTCTGTGGCTACTGCTGCCTCTGGGGGAAGAGCCTGCCCCATGTGCTTGAACCTTGCTTGTCCCTCTTCCCTTCAGCCTCAAGGCTCTCCTGGCCGGAAGCCCTCCAGACAACACTGTGGACCTGTCCGGCATCCCACTGACCTCCCGTGACCTGGAGCGAGTGACCAGCTACCTGCAGCGCTGCGGGGAGCAGGTGGACAGCGTGGAGCTGGGCTTCACAGGCCTCACAGATGACATGGTCCTGCAGCTGCTGCCAGCACTCAGCACCCTGCCCCGCCTCACCACACTGGCACTCAACGGCAACCGGCTGACCCGGGCTGTGCTGCGTGACCTGACTGACACCCTTAAGGACCCCAGCAAGTTTCCCAATGTCACGTGGATTGACTTGGGCAACAACGTGGACATCTTCTCATTGCCTCAGCCCTTCCTACTCAGCCTGCGCAAGCGCTCCCCAAAGCAGGGCCACCTACCCACCATCCTGGAGCTGGGCGAGGGCCCGGGCAGTGGGGAGGAGGCCCGGGAAGGGACAGTGGACCAGGAGGATCCCGGAGGGGGCCCAGTGGCACCTGACAGAGACCACCATGATGGCAAGGAGACTATAGCTGCAGCTCAGACGTGACGTGGAAGTGAAAGGCCTCACCAGGAGTCCTTGTGAGGTAGGATAGCCAAGAGAGGTTAGGGGCTCCTATTAGGAGGCTCAGGCTATCGTCAGAAATTGGTCTGGACAACCCACCCACAGAAAGGGGAGACTGTAGCATCTGGGAAAGGAGGATTTAGAATACTAATCTTTGGTTTTCTCCATCTACCCCCTATGAATTCCATTATCTGCCTTTTGGCTAAGAAGTCATCCCTTGCTCTAGACACTCCTTAGCTTAGCCCTTGGCCTTCCCCAGAGACTTGTGGGAACAGGCATATGGTTTGGAGGTGCTAGAAGCTTGAGCCAATGTGAATGCCATGAGCTTTCTCTCAGTATATATAGCTGGGTCCCTATACCTAACCCAGGATTTTCCAGTTCTGCATTACACTTCTATTTGGGAGAGCAAACCCCCAAGTCAGGTGTTAATATATCCTCAATCAAGGGAGGTTGAAATCGATAAAGAAACTCCCTAAGAGCCTGGAGTAAGAGGGCTGGTTGCCAGACACCCCAGAGGAGTTTGTTTCCATCTTTGCTAAGGGGGGACTGAAGGAGAGGTCTCACTCCTTATGGAGTCTCTGACTCCTTGGACCTGTCTTTCCAGTCCCAGCCTCCGTTTTGAGGCCCACCCTGTGATTCTAGACACCTGACCATAGGACAAGCTATCACCCTACAGTACTTAGAACAGCCTGTGGTGGTGCCACATGACAACACCTAGGGTAGACCAGGTATCCATGCAGGAATGCATTTTTCAACCAACCCAGACATCCCATATTCTGACACTGCTGAGCTAAGGCTCCAGTGTCCTTAGCATGCACACCCAAGTGATGAGCATCACTTCCTTTCCCTGTCACTTGCCAAGGTAACTACACTGACCTGGACAAGCTATAAGGACCCTTTTACCATAAAAATTCCAACCCATGCTCTGAACACATTCCTTAGAGGCGACTACAGAAGACTTTTAAAAGCCCACTACCATGTTATTGGCAGATTCATACAAAATTGCTGGGAAAGCTCCCAAGAGGTTTCACCCTATACCTCCCCCCCATGCCCAGTTAGAGAATCCCTTCTAGATACAACAGGCAACCCCTAGACAGTTATAGCTTAGTTCAAGAAAACTGGCAATCATTCTTGAACCTGAGAAAATCTTGTGGATAAGCAGAATGGGGAAGTATAGCTTGGCATGGCCTGGTAGGCAAGAGGCCAACACAGGAAAGCAGCAGGATGGAACCTGACTACAGGGCTTTATATGCTGTTAAGGGTTTGGCTAGGAATGATCCAGTGCTTTAGAAAGAAGCTTGAGGGACCCAGGCTCGGTGGCTCAGCCTGTAATCCCACGCTTTGGGAGGCTGTGAATGGATTGCCTGAGCCCACGGGTTCAAGACCTGCCTGGGCAACTTGGCAAGACCTCATCTCTACAATAAATTTTTTTAAAAAAAGCTTGAGGGAAGCTATGCAGAGGGACAAAGCCCAGAGGCAGTGGGGATATGGAATGTGTGTAGATGCCTTAAATGCTTTGGAATTTTTGCCCTCAAAGTCTAAAATTTTTAGGAGGGAAGAAAAAGCTTAGATTGACCAAAGGGAAGTTTATAAACTTGAGTGCTAATATCTGGACTGCTAAAACTTGACAGCAGTAGTCAAATTTGCTAAATACAGTTTTTAAGAACCAACAAAGACCATCCTTTATTCCCGGCAACTAAATGAATACACTTTCAGGAGGAATAACTCCCAACATAAGAGCCTTGCCCAATAACAACCAATTTACAAAAGTTTATCATAGAAGCTCCTGTTGGGCAAGTTGGCAAGGGACAATGCTAAAAATCTCAATTTGATGGATTATACCAAATGCACCAGTTAAGTGCCAAGTACATCTCAGCTCTGTTGAGAACATCATCTGTTACACACAGCAAACATGTCCACATCAGATGTTGAGGTCAGATTAGGTTTTCAAGAATCCATATTGATGGTGGCTATAGGTCCTTGGGACGGCCCATCCATCCTCTGGGGATATAGCCTGCAAAGAAACTACATTTCAATTTCACTTTCTCCTCCAACCAACAGTCATTCGTTCACAAGATGATATCATCAGAAAACCATAGGTTCACCACTATACAATCTGCCGGTAATTCCAGCAATTTTGGGTGATTTCATCATTTGATACCCTTTTTCTCCAATCAATTTGAACAAAACCAACTTTTTACTCATTCTACTGTAGGAATCATTGCCCTGAACAAGGCTTACCGCTTCGTGGGCTGAGCTGCTGCCAGCTCTGAATCTATACTCCAGCACTCAGTTCTCAAAACCTGGGGGGAATGGAGAAGGCACACACCTAAGATTACAGATGCAGAGCAGGAGAGCATATTTTTTTCTTTTAATTTTTTTTATTTAAAAAATGGGTACAATTCAGGGTTAGGTATACAAGTGCTCATTATGCAGGCACCCTTGTTGATGAGGTACGTTCCACCCACCCAGGGTATTTCTGATAGCCACAATTATAAACTTACATATTAAGAGCCCCATAAAACCATCTTAGAGGTACAATCTTGTACATTATTGAAGTCTACCAAGTCTTAATTAGGTTCTCTGGGGGGTTATGACACCTATTTGATCACATCATTTTAGTGTGGTCGCAAATCTAGAGTTACTTTTCCTTGTCACAGATGAGGAAAACAACATCTCAGCAGTAGGTGATTTTTTGCCCCAGGTTAAATAGCCAACAGGTAAAATGGGAAGAGCCCCTTTCAGGCTACTCCACTCTGCCCTACTGCCACCATGAACCAAAATTTCTGGGATATTCTGTCAACAAAAGTCAACGATTACAATTACAAGCTTAGATCAGCCAAATCCACTGCCAAATTTGACTCGACAGCTTGACATTCTCAACCACTAACCTCTCCACAGACCAAAGCTTACCTCATAGAAGGCCAGTGTACCTGGCTCCGATGCTTCCTTGCTGAACTTGCTGGTGATCCTTCACTAAATTTGCAACCTGGGTGGATATAGCAACTAGGTTACACTTCAAATTTACTGCTGGGGATAAGCAACACGTGAGGACTTGCTGACTGCAGTCAGGCAGGAGTCGTTATCGTCAGTTATCGCTTCTGACGGCACTTCCTATTAGTGATTTCATCAGAGCAGTCAAGCACCTCATCACACTCCAGTGCTGCTCTAATGCGAGACCTGGACACTGAGCTAAAACTGCCTTAAAAACAGGTCTCGGAGACATTTTAGAGTTCCTGCATACTGCTTCGGTTTAAATGCTGTTCCGGGCTAGGATTGTGTCTGAGGCATATCTCCAGTTTCTATTTGGGCTCCACACTGTACAATGACTTGATACATGATGTTAGGTGTGTAAAACTTACAACTGTAGAACGTCAACTTCAGTGCATTCAAAACTACAAAATTACAACTAAACTACTTGTTAAACCCTACCCAAAGGAGCTCTTACCTCATGGCTACCCCGTCTTCAACTCTGCCACATGCCACCTGAAAAGGGAACAAGGACAGGAACTTAGGACAGATACTGGCAGTTATGTTCAGTTAAAATGAGGTTCCAGGGACTGCGCTCAGATAGACAAAACGTCGTCAGTTATCGCTTCTGACGGCACTTCCTATTGTTAGTATCATCAGGACAGTCAGGCAAGTCTTTTAGGCACTACAATCCTGCCCACGTGTAGCACCCTCGGAGTACCCCAGGCTGCAAGCAAACCCCAACTCACCCAGTCCTCTCGGGTTTGCGCACCGCACACGGCCGGCTGGGAAGCCGGACCCGGTCTTCGCAGACCCTAGGCTCCTGGGGCGGTGGTCCCACCAGAAATGTGATCCACGAGCCTCAGCCCACGGCCGCCGGATTCTGCCCTGCGCGGCTCTGCGAGACTGTCTTACAATGGGCCGCAGTGCCCGACCCGGAGCCCACGTGAGCGCAGGTGCCGGGGCGACATGCTGTTACAACAGACGCCCTCTGCCCTACAGCCAAACTTCCGGGAAACATCTTCCCGGAGATCAGAAAGGCTCTAGCTCTTTACTTGCCCTTACCGCCGGCTACTACTGCCAGGTACAAGCACCTCCACGGCAACTATAGTGAAAAGGCCGAGCCACTTGGTCCCCAGGCCCTTAAGGAGTCGGAATATCCCATTCCTCAAAGAAGGGAGGGATATACTGGCAAAGACTCACGGGAACTTCCCGGCCATCTAATCAACCAGACTCCGCTTCACTACCCAAGGACTCCCCCCTGCTCTTGAGCCTTGTGGTCTCCTCCGAGGCGCGGGGAATTCTGGGTCAAGAAGAGCGCGGTCGCTTCCAGTGCGCCTGCGCGAGAGCTTGAGCGCGGCACGTTGCCTGCCTCTGCAATTCCTCTGCTGTCTTGCTGTGTCTTGGGCACTTCCGATTTCTTATCTGTGAAATGAGACACCGGCACCCCAGAAAGTGGTTCCGAAGATCACGTGAGATAACACGCTGAAACTCTGCGGCGCCGTGGCACACACAAGCGCTCACCAATAGTAGCTGCTCCTAAGTCTAAAGGGCAGTCCAGTGTGTTCTCTCCTTGCCACGATTTCATAATATCCACTGAGCCTCTCAGAGCCCTGCTCACTCACCACCCTCATCACCCCTTCTTTGGGATGACCTTTAAAGAGCTGGATCGATTTCCATCCTCTCCTGATCCCTTGGGCCTCCTCCATCCATGTTCCCGTCTCACCTGCGATGAGAACTCTCCCTCTGCCCATGCTTTCGGCATAAGAACATGCTCAGGTCTCTCCTTTAAAAGTATTGATAGCCAAGCGCGGTGGCTCACGCCTGTAATCCCAGCACTTTGGGAGGCAGAGGCGAGATGATTGCCTGAGCCCACAGTTCAAGACCAACCTGGGTAACTTGGCGAGACTTCCTCTCCACAATAAACCAAAAAATTAGCCGGACATGGTGGCACACGCCTGTGACTCCAGCTACTTGGAAGGCTGAAGCGGCAGGATCACCTGAGCCCAGCAGGTCGAGGCTGTGGTGGCCCTGAGCATGCCACTGCACTCCAGATTGGGCGACAGAGTGAGACTCCAACTTAAAAAAAACAAACAAACAGTATTCGGTCCATGCATGCACGTTTTGCACACACACGTTGTACCAAGGAAAAGCAATTCATCTTGACTGCAGAAAACCCTGAAGGCAAGCATGAGACAGCAACTTTTGAGCTGAACTCAAAAATCAGTGTAGGATTTTAATAGAGGGGGAGACTTCCAGTAAGAACCAAGTCAAGGAATCAAACATGAGATCTGGCTGGGGGCAGTGGCTCACGCCTGTAATCCCAACACTTTGGAAAGTGAAGGCAAGAGGATTGCCTGAACCCAGGGGTTCCAGACCAGCCTGGGCAACTTGGCAAAACCTCGTTTCTACAATAAATCAAAAAATTAGCTGGGAGTGGTGTCATGTGTCTGTGGTTCTAGCTACTTGGAAAGGATCACCTGAGCCCAGCTGGTAGAGGTTGCAGTGGCTGTGAGTGTGCCACTATACTCCAGCCTGGGTGACAAAGACTCCAACTAAAAAGAAAAAGAAAAACAAGGTCCCTTAGCCTACATGAAGAATTTGGTGGAAGTGCTAAGCAGAGGGAGGCAACAGGGATATCTAGAAATGCTTGGACAAAACCATGAAGGGCTGAGGATGCCAGCTAGGGAATTCTGTGGGTCCTGGGGAGCCTTGCCAGCATTCAGAGCACAAAGGTGATATGTTTGTATCTTTGGCTGTCTTGCAGAGAATGGCTTGGGAGGAGTGGGACTTGAGCAGGAAGCCCAGTGCGGAAAGAAAGCAATAACCCAGAGCCTGAACTAAGCCAAAGCACTCAACGGAAGCTGGGTTTCAGAGACATCTTTGAGGTGGCCTTAATGGTTGTCTGGTGGCATAGGGAGAGGAAAGGTGGCTGTATTTGCCCATGTCCACCACCACGTCTGCCATGGCAGTGGGCACAGCCCCTCAGCCAGCTACCTGTGCCCAGGAAGAGGAGTCTTAGGACTGGGGGGTGAGGGCAGTCCTAAGGTGAGGGTCTCTATGCCCAGGTGAGGGCAAGGGCAACCTAGCCCCACACACAGACAGTGGGCACACAGAGACATGCAGATAGTACCCGCCCAAGGGGCCCAGAAGCTTTGCTCAAATAATGTTTCCAGAAGAGTTTGTTTGTGAAAAAAAAATTTATATTTGCCATCAAAATTCACTGGGGCCCCAGAGTCAGCAGGTGTGGCTGGAAAGATCCCCTGCTCTGTCATGCTGGCCTCCTGCTACATCTGGGCCATCAGTGGGACTGGAGGGGCTGGAGAGACAGACGGTCTTCCTCCAAGGCACTGTCCTCGCCAGGTAGGGAGGCCAGGGTGGGGTTCTTCCTCGTGCCTGTAAACAGATGGGGAGCACTGTAGTTTAACCCTTGGGTGTGTCCTCAGGAGGCAGGCACCAGGGAAAGAGAAGAGGTCACAGACATGAAAGTACATCATGTCCGTAGGCATCCAGTGATCCTGGAGCCCCGCAATCCCTCTCCCTGCCTCCCTCCTGGGAACATTTTCTGAACCCATGCCGTGATCAGGGGACTCCCCTCAGAAACTTAAAATCTCTGAAGGTGACAGGTTGTGTGTCAGAAACAGAACACCTGAGACATGCTAAAGAGCCAGAGGGAAGTGAGTTAGGTGCTCAAAGAAGAGAAGAGACCCAATCCATAGGGGAGGTGGCAGATTTCCAGAGGGGAGGAAGGACACTTCCAGCAGAGATAATAGCCAAGGAGAGCAAAGAACAAGGAGCACTGCAGACCAACAGGCTGTTACTTGGATGGAAGTGTGGGGAAAGGGTTGGACAACAGCTTTGGGCCCTGACCTCCATGCTAAGGAGTGTGGCCTTCCAGGCAGTGGGAGGTATTGTGCAGTGTGGACTGTGTGTAGTTTTTGTCTTGTGTGTAGTGTTAGCAGGATTGGAGTGAGCTAACCCTGGAGCAGAAAGACTTGTCTAAAAGTCCAGGTGCAGGCTGGGTCACCCTACAGTGGTGCGGAAGCAGAAGGGAGGGACCAGGTCAGAGAGGTGAGTGGCCACCTGAAAAGTCAAGGACACTCGGCTCCAGGTGGGACATCCAGTGTGGGGTGAATGGGCAGAGACCCTGAAGGCCTCCCACTTGGACAAAGAGGGGGTAGAGTTACATACACCTGACCTGATAGGGCAGCCCCAAGGCTTGGGGCTATGGAGTTGGAGACCCCAGCAGGCAGTAGAGTATAGGATTGGGGTGTGAAATGCTTGGGGCAAGATGAGGGACAGGGTGACTTTCAGAGTCCTGGCACTGTAGTACAAGGGAGGGAGATGCAAAGAGGGTAGAAAGGAAACTTATGCATATGTCAGGGTAGTGGTTGGTGGGGTCCAGGAGCCTGGAAAACCAGCAGGCTTTGGAACAGAAGAGACAGAGGAGCCTCCCTATAACAGGGGTCATGGATGGGTGACTCAGGAGGCTGTTGGAGGGACAGATGGGCTTAAGCAGGTGAAATTTGTCAGAAAAGAGGAGAAAGGAGAGGAGGAGAGCCAGTGGAAGATGAGGTAGGAGCTATTGAAGGTTCTAGAAATAAACAATATGGAGGAGACCCAAGAAAAGGGGAATTATTTTTTGGAGGGCTAGCCCCTTATAATACAGGCTTCCCTTGCTAGATAAGTGTTCTAGGAACCCATCGGCATCAGTGTACCAGCTACCATTGTGAGAGGCTGCATTTGGATTTAGTGAATTTTATTGGAGGTTCTTTCAACAGACTTTTGCCCATTTCATGATGGGTGATTTATGAGGGCACCTGCCTACACCTCACTGAGTATTCAGCAGTTTTTGGCCAAAAATAGCATGATCCCCATGCCCCATCCTCCCTAGTCACCCAGTCTCGCCCCAAGTGACTTTTTTTTGTTTTCTTGATGAGAAAGTCCTCAAAAGGAAATGTTTTGCCAATGTGGAAGAGGTGAAACCATGGCAGAAGCACTAAAAGGCATCAAAATCGAGGAATTCAAAAACTGTTCTGAGCAGTGAAAAAAAGCATCTCAATAGGTTGTTGCATTAAAAGGAGAATACTCTGAAGTATAGACATGTAAGAATAAATACACAATTTTTTATAAATAAATTCTGGGTTTTGGGGGGTCCCCCTTGTATGTTGTGGACAGAACTAGTCCTCAGGCCTCTCTGGGGGCAAGAGGAAGGAGTCAGTCTTGGTGAAGGCAGCAGGGTGGGGACAGGAGAGGACACAGGCCATGAGAGGTGGGAGAGGTGTGGGAAGTGGCTTCTCAGGAGTGTGGGGGCTGGGAGTGTGAAGGGCTGGGAGTGGCTCAGGAGTTGGGGAGGGCTCAGAGTCAGCAAGTCTGGCCTGTCAGACAGGGCAGTGCCTCTGATGGCTCAGGGAGATGCCATCTGTGTTGTGGGCTGGGCAGTGACCCTTCCTAACTTGTTCCCCCTCTAGGTCCCCAAGCTCAGCCCAAGCCTGGCTGGGGCAGGCTTCAATAACTAGGCGCACAAGCAGAGGGTATGACTGAGTGAGACCCAGAGAGGAGAAGGCAACACGGAGCAAATGAGGGTGGGCAAAGGCTGGGCTGGAGGAAGCACTCACAGCCTCCGAGGCTTTCCCAGGTGGCTGCCTAAAAGCAGGCCAGCAAAGAGGTGGGGGTAGAAAGGAAAGGATGGGACACCACTTTAAGGGGGCAGTGCCTATAAGAAGCTGGCATGGAGTGGAGCTGCACAGTGGCCACAGAGGAGGTCTCTGGGGCCTGCCAGATGCTCCAAAGCTTTGTGGCCAAGCAAGCACACCTACACACCACAGGACAGGGGCTCCAGCCACCACGCTACTCACCAGTGACACCTGCCCCTGACGGCTCCTCACACACTGTAGGCAGCGTCTGCTCCCAGGAAGCCCAGTTCACCTCCTCCACCCTGAGGGCAACAGATAAGCTCTGAGGCCCCCAGGAAGCCAGCAGTCCCATCTGCCCCCTGGAGAGAGGCCCAACCCCTCAAATGGGTAAACTGTGTAGGTACTCTAACAGAGCTAGAGAAGGACTTTCTCTGTCCTTCTCTATAGGGCACTGGACCACCTACCATCCCACCTGGAGACCCATCCTTGTGGCAATAAGACAGCTGTCCCTGGGCTAGCTAGATGGATATGAGCATCTATCCCTTTGGGTTGTTTACAGCAGCCTGGGTTGCCCAGAGCAACCAGAGAAGAGGAATACAGATTAGCTGTGTCCATGTGCCTAAAGACTCCCTGGCTCTCTACTCAATGGCTGCCTCACAAAGTGTCTATTTCTGGCTGAGCTTTTGTCACTAGATCCCTCTCCCAGCACCCTTGCCTTCCCTGGGCACAGAAGGGCTTGTTCTCCTAGAAGGGGTTATAGCTCAGAATTCTGGTTGGGAGAATTGGGGGTGGAAGGAAGCAGAGCAGCCAGGACAATGCTAGTGTACTGGGAAACCAAGGGCCCCTCTGGCTTCTTGGTCTCTTTACTGTGCCACATTTCAGGCCAGGAGGAGGGGTCAAGATCAGCAGGAGAAGCTTTTCAGTTTAAGCCACAGGACAGGCGGTGGCAGCTGTGGCCTGTGAGATCCAGCATCCCTGACCTCACCCTCCTGGGCACAGTTCCCCAGTGCTCCTTAGCCCTGCCTTTTCATCAGACCTGGCTCCTGGCAGCTGTCCCCTGCACTGTGGAGAGTGGGGGCAGGGATTGCTGGTCAAGGCCCCCAAGCTGCCCTCTCCAGCCCCCTCACTTACCTGAAGCACCAGCGCTCATCAGGTCTGCCATCTGGCCTGGTACCAACGGTCAGCATCACCCCTGCCCGCGCCTTCTTCTTCCTGAACCACCAGTAGCCATTCTCCATCTCCAGGACAGCAATGGCTTTCTGGGGACAAAGGATGCATCAGACGGGGCAGCCTGGGACCCTGCCTGGGGGAAGAGGTGCACAAGGCAAGGGGAGCAGGAAGAGGCCTCACAGCACTTTACAGTATAACCCAAAGTTAGCTAAGCATGAGGATTCAAATCTGGCTCCAAAGTTTGATGATCTATGTGGGGTTAGGCGCTTACCCTTTCTGAGTCTCAGTTGCCCCACTGGTAGAGGGAGAACCATGTAACTTGGATGGTTGTTAGGAAATCACTGTATACAAATGCCCTACAACTACCTGTTCTTACATCGTTCCAGGTTCCAGAATTCCACACTACCAGGTACAGAACTCCAGCTGCTCCACCTCACACATGTGTCTGCCCATGGGCACACAGGCCAGTCAAGGGGCACAGAACTTGGCAGGGGAGGGCACTGAGGCTCAGAGAAGATCAGCAGCTTCCCCAGGCTCAAAGATGAATTGGCAGCAGAGTCCAGCCTCCTGGGCAATGCTCTTCTAGCAACTGCCCAAGAACCACCTCCAGCCCTTCTCCTATCAAGAAGCAGATATTGCTTCCTTCTTAGGGGGTGTCACATCAGCCAGCAGCTGCAGGGGACTCTGCCCACCCCAACTGCCCCAGGCTGAGCCAGTCCCAAGATTTTACATCTTGGCCACCTCCCCCACCAGACCGATTCCATTTTATATACAATGGACACATAGTGGAAGCTCCATGAGGGCAGGGACGTCGTCTTGTTCTCTGCTCTGTGTGTAACACCTAGAACTGTGCTTAGCCCTGTCAGCACTCAAGAAATACAGGACAACAGTAATGACAGTGATGACAGTAGCTAGCACACTGAGCATCCACTAGGCGCTAGGCATTGTCCTGAGAACTTTACATCTATGAGCGTCTCTAATCCTTACCACAACCCGACAAAGGAGAGGAGAGATGCTGACAAGGCAGGGCTGCCCAGCCTGGCACCACCTGGTTCAGATGGGCCCAGCCACCCAAGGTTCTGAGTGCTCCCCACCGGCCCCAGCATGGGTGGGGGCAGGGAGCCTCCCTGGCTGCACCTGCAGCTTCCAGATGCTCCAGCTGTCAGTAGTGACGCTGTTGACAGTCTCGCTCATGAGGGCAATGAGCATGTTCAGCAGTAGGATGTAGGTGAGTAGCACATAGGCCAGCAGTAGCAGCAGCACCACCCCGCGGAAGCGCAGCTGCTCCTGGAAGGCCAGCTCGCCCATGCCGATGGTGAACTTGAAGAGCTCCAAGGAGGCGTCCAGGATGCCCCGGTATGGGGGCGTGCTGCCCGCTTCCTCCTCGTGGTCCACCCCTGGCCGCACCGACTCCGTGGCATTGGGGCCTGTGGGTGCTTCGGGGACCCAGGCTTCCCGGCTTAGGCTCACCAGGGCTGTGGGATGGAGAGAGAGGGTCCCTCAACCCAGGAAGACCAGCAGGCAGCTTTGAGGGTATACAGGGCAGACAAGAGTCAGGCGGGGACTGGAGGAGGCCTTTACCTACGGCGAAGCCGAAAAGGAAGACTAAGTAGACCAGAAGGAAGCGCAGCAGGTCTCGCAGGATGACCTGGAACACACATGCCCAGGGGCTGAGGTGAGGGGCTGGGCCACCAGGCATGACCCTAGATCCCTGCCTCACCCTGGGCACAGTTCACACACACACACACACACACACACACACACACACACACACACACACACGTGGGCATACATGAACCCTATGGAGCCATACTGAGCAGAGTGATCATTTAAAAACCTATCTCTAGCCGGGCTCGGTGGCTCAGCCTGTAATCCCACGCCTTTGGGAGGCTGAGGTGAGTGGATTGCCTGAGCCCGCGGGTTCGAGACCCGCCTGGGCAGCGAGACCTCATCTGTACAACAAATCAAAAAATCAGCTGGGCGTGGTAGCGCATGCCTGTAATTCCAGCCACTTGGAAGGCTGAGGTGGAAGGATCGCCGGAGCCCAGAAGGTCGAGGCTGTGGTGGCCGGGAGCGGCCGCTGCACTCCAGTCTGGGCGACAGAGTGAGACTCCAACTCAAAAAAAAAAAAAACCTATCTCATTTGTATACCTAACCCTGAATTGTACCCCACATCTTAAAAAAAAAATTTTAAAAAAAAGAAAAATTCAGTTAAAAAAATAAACAAAACCTATCTCAGATCATATCGTTTTTCTGCTTGAAACCCTGAAACATGCTACAACATAGGTGAACCTTGAGGACATGATGCTAACTAAAATAAGCCAGACACAAAAAGACAAATAGTGTGTGACTCCACTTATATGAAGTAGCTAGAGTAGTTAGATTCACAGAGACATAAAGTAGAATGGTGGTTACCAGGGCTGGGCAAGGGGGAAGAGAATGGGGAGTTGTTTAATGGACATCGAGTTTCAGTTTGAAATAACAAAAAAGTTCTGGAGATGGATGGTAGTGGGTGCATAACAATGTGAATGTACTTAATGCCACTGCACGGTACACTTAAAACCAGCTAAAATGGTAAATTGTGTATATTTTACAATTTTTTTTTAAACTGGCCCCTCTCACTTTCCCAGCCTTCTCTTCAGTCTCCCCAGACAGCCCAGCCACCTCACTCTGTTCCAAACACCCCAAGCGTGTTCTGGCTCATGGTCTTTGCCTTACACTGTTCCTCTGCTGAGAATGCCTCCTCCTCATCCTGTGGTGGCTGAATCTTTCTTTCAGGCCTCAACTTAAACATCCCTCTTCAGAGAGGCCTTCCCAAACCATCCCAAATAACACCCTGGTCCCAGTTATTCTCCATCACATTGTCCTGTGAATTTCCTTCATAGAATTTGGCAGTCTGCAATGTTCTGTTGTTTTCTTGGGGTTTTTATTTCTCCCACAAGAATGTCAGCTTCAGGACCAGGCTCGGTGGCTCAGCCTGCAATTCCAGCACTTTGGGAGGCCGAGGTAAGTGAATTGCCTAAGCCCGTTGGTTCGAGACCCACCAGGGCAACTTGGCAAGTCCTCATCTCTACAATAAATCAAAAATCAGCCGGGCGTGATAGCACACGCCTATAGTTACAGCTACTTGGAAGGCTGAAGCGGAAGGATCGCCGGAGCCCAGCAGGTCGAGGCTGCGGTGGCCGGGAGCGGCCACTGCACCCCAGTCTGCAGTCTGGGTGACAGAGTGAGACTCCAACGCAAAAAAACAGAAAAAATGTCAGCTTCAGGGGAGTGAGGACTTATCTGTGTTGCTCACTGCTGTATCCCCAACACATAGAACAGGGCCTGGCCCAGAGGAGGCACTTCCTTAACACATGCTGAATAAAGAAAGACATGCAGACACATGTGCACGCCCACACATCCCAGGGCACAAACACAAATGAGGTTAGGTGCATATTCTCTGCTCCTTCAGTGTAGAAGGATGCTTGTGCTTCTGTGTAGACACCAGCAAACACACACGTGCATGTGTTTGTGTGCACATGCAGACCCCTGGGAACAGGTCTGTACGTACCCATACTTCAGCTTACATCCAGTGAGCGTCTGAGTAGTGACACACAGGCAGACACACCCACATGCTCCCCTCTGCCCAGGTTAGCTCTGGGGGAAGGTCCTGCCAGCCTCCAACTTCTCTCACCTTCTGGATCATGACGCTGTAGATGCCCGTGTGTTGGAAGCCACGTGTATAGTATAGCAGGTTCAGCCAGCCCAGCACCAGGGACGACGCAAGCAGGGGCAAGTACCACTCAATAGCCAGGAAACACAGCACCTGGGACAGCACTGTGAGCAGCGCCTGGACTAGGCTGTGTGGGGGCAGGATCTGGGTTGGCTTCTGGGCCGCTTGGCAACATCCACTCAGCTCCCACTGGCCAGCACTAACCACCACCACATCTCCTGCCACAGTCTGGTGGCTTGAGATGTCCTTCACCTGTCTGAGACTGGACCCAGTCCAGACCTGACTTCCATTTTAGGCAAGTCATTTAACCTCTGTGGGATTCAGGCCCCCCCCCCGTAAAATGGGCATAATAATGACACCTAACTGGAAGTTTTTGAGGATTAAGTGAGATATCACATGGGGAAAATCCAGCCTCCATAGGTGCGTGGTGAGACCTCAGTGAATGTCACTATCACAGTCTACAAGGATGGGAAGGCAAAGGGCCTGAAACAGGATGGCAGCCCAGACCCGTGTCTGGTTTGCATGCAGGTCCTGACTTCCTGGGCCCCGTGCCTTCGCCTCTAAACCCAGCCTGGTACCCTCTGCTACTCCACCTCTCCCAGGTCTCAGAGAGAGTGAGGGGAGGAGTGAGACCTCACGTACAAGAGGATTTCAAAGTAGCCGTCCATGAATGACATCCAGATGAACAGACGGCGGCGCCAAAAGTACCACAGCTGCGGAGGAGGAGGACAGAGGGCTGTGAAACCTGTTCTCCAGGCCCAAAGGCAGCCAGCTGCCCCTCTGGGCCTGGACTCCAGCTCCCCGCAAATGTTCCCTGCCTGCTGGCCTGGCAGCATGGGAGCCTGGTCAGGACTTCAGGGGTTAAGGCAGCAGCTTTGGCTTTGGGAAGCAGGTTTCATGAATCCTTCTGATAGTTAAGATTGATTTGGACCCTCTTTCCAGAAAAAGCAGCCACGTACTTCATCTGGAGAAGAGGAGAACTCCTTTCCCTCCCACTCTCCCTGGCCTCACAGGGAGCATCCTGTATTCCAGTCAACCCAAGTTCTGCCCATTCTCAGACGGTCCCAATGTCTTGTGTCCTGCAAGCTTGCTGCCTTTCCCACTGAAATGAAGAGGTGCCGCTGGGACAGTTGGCCTAAGTCCCACCTGTCCTCAGCCTTCTGTGCTCCCCAAGAGAGGAATGCCCCAGCAGAGAGGGGTGTGTGGGCAGGGGCTTCCAGTTCAATTCCTGGGAGAGCAAAGCCTGCACTGCCAAGGAACCAGATAAACCATGTGCTCCCCACGGGACCCCAAAAAGCACACTAGGAAGGATACCAGGGCCTCAGAAGGCAAGGCCAGAACCAAGGCCCCCTGCTGAGGTGAGTCTGGGTGGGACTGGGTATGAGAGTCAGTTCCCCTGTCAGCGAAGAATTGTTGCTAACTTGCTCTCAGGCCCCCTAGAGGGGAGACAGGGAGTCCTTACCTGGCCCGAGAGGAGGTAGATTCCCCCTAGCAGGATCAAGATGTGGCCCAGCAGCAGCATGGAGTTTCCAGCCGTTGCTTTCAGAGGGAGGACGGCCTGCTGAAGGACACACTCAGGTAAGACCTAGGGCCTTGAGTCCTCTACTCAACAGCTCACCCCAGAAAACTGAAGCTGAGGGTTCACTCTGTGCCTGAGTTGTGGAGAGGCCAATTGGAGCAGTAGAGGGAACATGGCCCTCCAGCAGTAGAGGGAACATAGCCTTGACCTCCTGAGAGGCATATTGTAGAGTGGTGATGAGCATGGTATCTGGAGCCAGACAGCCTGGGTTCAGATTCTTTCTCCGCCACTTACAGCCTGCATGACCCTGGATAAGTTTTTGTTTTGTTTGTAGTCAAGAATCTCACTCTGTTTCCCAGGCTGGAGTGCAGTGGCACACTCATGGCCACTGCAGCCTTGACCTGGTGGGCTTAGGCGATCCTTCCATTTCAGCCTTCCAAGTAGCTGGAACTACAGGCATGTGCCACCGTATTCAGCAGACTTTTTTTATTTATTGTAGATTCGAGGACTCACCATGTTGCTCAGGCTGGTCTCGAACCCTTGAGCTCAGGTAATTCTCTCGGCTCTGCCTCCCAAAGTGCTGGAATTACAGGCATGAGCCATTGCACCCAGCTGACCCTAGATAAGTTACTTAACCTCTCTGTGCCTCCCTTCCCTCAACTGGGGATGGTAATAGTTCATCTCAGAGGGCTGTTGTGAGAATTAATCAGTCAACACATCAGGAATTTAAAGTACTTATTCATATATGGTGAGAATGCTGTAGGTCTTCACTATTATTACTATTGTTAGTACTAGGTTACTGGTTTCTATAAGACCCTGGGCATATCACTCCAGCAGCCTAAGCCTCAGCATTGTCCCTTGTAGAATGAGGATCCCTACCCCATCTTCCCTCAGAGTTGTTTCAAGCAGGATGTCCTCCCCATTCCCGTCCCCGCCTTGCCTTCTCCAGGGCAGGCTGGTGGTACGCAACAGCAGTGAAGATGAACATGTAGATCAGATAGCACAGGAAGTTGAAGAAGAACCTGGGGATGAGCAGATCCCATTTCGCCTGCAGCAGTTTGTTCAGGGGCTCCAAAACCACCATTCGGTGTCGGTGCTGGGAAGGGAACAGCCATGGGTACACTCAGCAAGAACAGACGGGGTGCCCACTTCATGTCAGGCCTACAGCAAGGGCCAATGGAAATGGAGGGGAAACAGTGGAGAGCAGGCTCCATACACTTTCAGGAGCCCCGAATGACCCCACCTCAGCCCTCATGACTGTCGTGACCTAGGGCCTTGCTCGCTAGATTAGGTACTGGTCAACAGAGAGGCCCTCGATGGTAGCCACAGGGCCCCTGGTTGGATCCCCATGTTGGGTGGGACTGGAGTATGGAGTGAATATGGACCCCGTGGCACACACCCCCACTGGCGCAGGAACAGTACAGGTGTGGTCCAGCAGGCAGCCACAAGTTGTGGACTTTGCTGGGAGATCTGTCAGGCCCTCCACACACATATACACACACACCCCTGCAGGCTCACCGGGCTCCTACAGTGAAAGGCGATGATCTCCAGCACCGAGTTCTCCTCCCAGCTGTCCACAGAAGCCAGGTCGTACAGCGACACCCGGACAGGCCCATAGCACCACTCAGTGAACTTTCGGGAAAGGGGCTGGCATGGTCCCGAGAACTCCCGCTGCAGGATGTGCCTGAAAATCTGCAGGGCGGCCACATGAGCTTGCCGGCTGAACCCCATCCTGGGCTGATGCTGAGCCAAAGCTGGGACACATCCAGCACCCTGCCGCTGTCCACTGTCTGCAGAACTGTGGCAGACACATGCACATGCCCCTGTACACAAGTCCTTGTATGTCTAAGCTCTTACACACATCCACACGTGCTCAACCACAGGGCAGACTCTCACATCCACCCAACCACATGTGCCCCAGGATACCAGCCAGTCTGGCTCTTCCTTCCCCACTCTCATTCCGTGGCCCTCTTTTCTGGATTCCTCAGAGGGCAGAGAGCCCCTGGGTCCTTGAGTTCCCTTGAGATCAGACACTAGCAGCTATACCTGTATGTGCACTTTGTGTGCAGAGTTCAGAGCTTTTAACATACTAGAAAGGATTCTCTAACCTGCACAGGTTAAGAAGCAATTTGAAGCCGGGTTCGGTGGCTCAGCCTGTAATCCCGCACCTTGGGGAGGCTGAGGTGAGTGAATTGCCTGAGCCTGCAGGTTCGAGACCCGCCTGGGCAGTGAGACCTCATCT